AGAAGAAACAGGAAGAGATCAAACTTTTTTTTTTTAAATCTGATGAGAGGTTTTGTTTTGGGAGGATTTTTTTTTTTAACTATTCTATCATTTCGAGTAGGCAGTTAAGACTCCTAAAGGAAAAAGAAAATCCTCAACATCAAGCTCCACGTTCCAAAAAGCATGCGGCCAGCCCCGTGGCACGCCTTACCTGAGGCGTTCTTTGCAGCTCATACAAACTGAGCTCCCAGGTTTTGCTTAAGGGTTGCGTCCCGTTGGTCTGCACGGCTTGAGACATGGCTGGGAAGAAAAAGAGCAACAAGTTGCACACTCACATCCATCCGGCTGACCCTCTCCCGGCTCCGCTGGGACACGGCGGTCTCTGTGCCAACAACGCAGAAGCACAGGGGGAACGTTGTACTCCCATGGACCAGGCTCTGCTGTGTTACACACGGAGAATCCCACGCGTCGTACCGCTCCAGAGAAATTGAGGGAGTCGGTCAGCCATGGATGCTTGGCGAAAATCAGTGCAGGTTGTTAAACAAAAGTGCCACAGAACTGAAGGCCATAAAGCTGCTGTGAAAGCTGCAAATGCCACCTGATGCGAAAAACAGTCATAAAACACCCATTTATGAACAGGTAGGGTCTACATCCTGAGTGGAAGGTCAAAATTGTACATGCACACAGAAAATTAGCGACACGTTCGCTGGAAGCACACTGTGATGCCTTTTTTTTTCCTCCCGAAAGTACATTCCAAGCAGAAGTCCAGAGAATATTGAGAGATCAGTTACAACCCAGTCACTGGGTAACTGCTGTGTTCAGCTCTGGGGTCCCCAACATCAGAAGGATATGGAGCTGCTGGAGCAAGCCCAGAGGAGGGCCAAGAAAATGATCCGAGAGCTGGAGCACCTCTGCTATGGAGACAGGCTGAGAGAGTTGGGGCTGTTCAGCCTGGAGGAGAGAAGGCTCCGGGGTGATCTTATTGCAGCCTTCCAGTACCTAAAGGGGTCCTACAGGAAAGCTGGAGAGGGACTTTGGACAAGGGCATGTAGTGACAGGACAAGGGGCAATGGCTTTAAACTGAAAGAGGGGAGATTTCAATTAGATAGAAGGAAGAAATTTTTCACTCTGAGGGTGGTGAGGCACTGGCACAGGTTGCCCAGAGAAGTTGTGGCTGCCCCATCCCTGGAATTGTTCAAGGCCAGGTTGGATGAGGCTTTGGGCAACCTGGTGCAGTGGAAGGTGTCCCTGCCCACGGCAGGGGAGTTGGAACTGGATGGTCTTTGAGGTCCCTTCCAACCCAAACCATTCCATGATTCTATAATTCTACGCCAGAAGTTAGGCATATGCACGCACAAGCGCTAAACGATACAGAGATATTTAAAGTTTTTTTTAAAAAAATGCAATAAAATTCATTCTTTCTTACAAAAAGATTCTCAAAAAGAATCTCAAACTGTTCTGTGATTCTATTAGAGGTCCAGTCTTCCTCTGCAATCCTGCTGGGCTTCAGTGGACATGCACCCGATCTGCAGTGGCCTGGGGTGGCAAAGTCAGAAGTTTTTTTAACTTTCAGAAACCCAAATCATATACACATTATCACGGTTTCGCTGTTTTTTTGTATGGGCAGTGGTGGGCAGGCACTCCTGGACACGGACAGGGCTCAATGCACTCAAAAGATGACTGATCCCTTCCAGAACCAAAACCACTGATGCAGAATTTGCTTAAGGCAAAGGCACACATCCCCTCTTCATTAAAAAAATAAAAACAACCAACCGTAAATAAAACAAAAAACAAACAAACAAGAAAAGGACCACGCAGAGCAATTGTCATGCTTTCCCATGAAAACTTTGGGATTGTTGTATGAGATAAGGCAAAACTACCACACATGGTTACTACAGACACGTGAAAGACAGTCAGGTGAGAATAACAGAAGAAAATCATGTTTCTGGACAGAAAATATTTTCACACTGGGGCAGAGGGGGCAATTCTCCCCATCTCTCCAAAAATGCCTGCCTTGAAGCAGGAAAATGTATTCCAGACTGCGTGGTATGTTTAAAAAAAATAAATGTAACTGTGTAAGAGGCAAAATTGCAGTTGCAGACATTTCTGCTGGGTGCAAAAAAGTGCTCTCTTCCTTCTTTTCTAAACTTTTTTTTTTTTTTTTTTTTCAACCTAGGTTTGTATTTCCAAACCCTTCGAATCAGCAGCCAAACGCAGACTCTGTTGGCACCTACCAGGAACATCATCATCCAGTTTCCAGTTCATCAAGTTCTGTACGAAAAGGGTCAACCTCTCTGGAGAACAAGGTTATTTTGTAAGTTTTAATTAATTGTTGAGGGAAAAGCAAGAGAAGCAGTGCAGCAAGGATTATTATAGCTACTTTTATCCAGGCACAGAAATTAAAGTTTTCCCACCTTATGAAAAAAATATGGGGGGGGCACAAAAAATAAAGTGCCCAACCTGAGGTAGTCGTGTCCACTATTATGTTTAACAAGCAACAAGGGTCTGGGGAGGCATCAAAATAACTAACTGGGAGATGAGAGACCGTCAACTCCAAGTTTTACTATATAAATACTGTGCCCTAAAAATACGGAAAGGAGGAGGAAAGGAGGAGGAAAGGAGGAGGAAAGGAATAGTATTTCTCTGTGTTCTAATTTCCACTATTATTTAAGTGGAAATATTTAAATATTTATTAAGTGGAAATAATAAAATATTTATTATTTTAACTCCAGGTGTAAAGGAAGTCAAGTCATAGAATCATAGACTGGTTTGGGTTGGAAGGGACCTCAAAGATCATCTAGTTCCAACCCCCCTGCCATGGGCAGGGACACCCTCCACTACACCAGGTTGCCCAAAGCCTCATCCAACCTGGCCTTGAACACTTCCAGGGATGGGGCAGCCACAGCTTCTCTGGGCAACCTGTGCCAGTGCCTCACCGCCCTCATTGTAAAAAATTTCTTCCTCAGATCTCATCTAAATCTCCCCTCTTTCAGTTTAAAGCCATTGCCCCATGTCCTGTCACTACACGCCCTTGTCCAAAGCCCCTCGCCAGCTTTCCTGTAGCCCCTTTAGGTACTGGAAGGCTGCTAGAAGGTCTCCCCGGAGCCTTCTCTTCTCCAGGCTGAACAGCCCCAGCTCTCAGCCTGTCTCCATAGCAGAGGTGCTCCAGCCCTCGGATCATCTTTGTGGCCTTCTCTGGACCCACTCCAGCAGCTCCATGTCCTTCTGATGTTGGGGACCCCAGAGCTGAACGCAGCACTGCAGGGGGGGGCTCCCGAGAGCAGAGCAGAGGGGCAGAATCCCCTCCCTCGCCCTGCTGCCCACGCTGCTTTGGATGCAGCCCAGGATATGGCCAGACCAGCTGATCCTTTTAAAGCTATAAAATTCGGAAAAATCTCTCATGAGCCAAAGAAAGATTTTTTTCACATTGTTGACACTTTGTTCAGTGTGAAAAATATAAAGTGGAAAGTTTCTACACAGAAGGAATAGCAGACTTTTTATTAACTACTACTACTGGCAAGGGGAGAGATGACAAAGAATAAATGTAAAACCTCAGGTTTGTTCTTCAGTCTGGAAATTTATTCCGCTGAAATCTCAGACTCTTAAGATCAGTTGGATCTTCATTGACATCGTTCTCTATTCCTGTGCAGCCCATTTGCCATATTTTTTTTTTAAAAAAAGGTCTTAACAATTTTCTCATGCTTATTTTTCCCACTGAAAATATGAAGCAGATTTCCTCACAACGACACCTACTTAAGTTTTCAACTCTTCAACGTTTCAGCTCTTTTCCGCTTTATAAACGAAGAGGATGGGATCTCTTCTTCACAGATCATCACCTGCACCAGCATTGGGAACAACGTGAGGTCAGACACCTCCTGTGTGCCTTTTTTCACCATTAACTTTTCGAAACAACTTCTGGCACACCACAACTTCATACTTTTTATCATTTTTTACCTTTATGACCTGTCTATAGCCTCTGGATATAAGAGGAAAACAACCAGTCACATGAGAACAGGGTGATGTACGAAGGGGAGAAGCCACATTCCTGTAGGCAGATCAAACATCTTTCTCCTGGAGCCACTGGTAAGTGCTAGTTGTTGTGATTTATGCTCTAGCCAGAGGGCCACTCTTGTCAGTCATTAAAAAAACCCCATAAACTGTTCCAAACAGCATCTGAAAAAAAGAGACACGAGCTAACGTTTAGTATTTAGGCATAAAACCAGCCTAGTTGCTGCCTGTCTTTTATAGAAGCAAACTGGAAGATGAAACAGGGAGACTGCTCAAGATTATGTGTAAATTTGGATTTCTTTGTACCCAGGATGTTTTCTCGGATCTCCACATTGCCAGAGCATTAAAACCAAAAAGTAAAGAAAACCCACCTGCACTGTTCTTAAGGAGCTTTGGAAAGTTTTGATGGATTTTAGATAACCAAACATCACCCACAAGCTAAACAGCTCCCTAACTAGAGCTGGGAGATGAGCCTGCTGGCTTCAGTAAAAGGCACTGCATCACTTCATTTGAAAGACTTGCTATTTAAGCCTGTTTTCCTTGGAAATCTCGCTCTTGGTGCTCATCCATCTGTAGACTATTTTCCAAAGCAAATTTGAAGACAAATGGCTGGGGTTTAATTGCTCCTGAAGCACTGGAAAACAGACTGTTACAGGAAAAAAATAACAGGAAAAAATGAAAGACCCCATCGGGAAAGCCCCTCTGATCTCCTGCCTGCTTACTGATGGGGGAATTCATGCTGGAGAGTCCTTCCAACATGCTTAGAAAAAAAACTCCAGCAGAGCAACATCCGCACCTGTCACACACCACATCCCCTTCACAAGCTCTTACACTGACATACGCTGAATTATTTGCTCAGGTGTAGTCCTGAGTCACACTAGATTGGGCATTCGGGTATCTCATTCCTAAAACTGTCCAGTAAAAATAAAATCCGACTGGCAACAAGTACATTTCAGATCACTCAGAGCTGCGGGCAGACGGGCTGTTCCAGCTCCAAGGCAGGCAAAGAGCTTGGCAGCACCATCTGCCTGCTCCTACTCTTCCCAACTTTACCTTGCCAGAGGTTTACCACCCTTAGATTTGCCAATGTATAATGGATCTTTAGTCTTATTTCTCAAAATTTGTTGTTTGTGAAAATTTAAGATTTCCTGAGCTCTAGGTTGGAACTAACCTTGCTGGTGGTCCTGCTTTACCCAGGGAGCGGGGGACTGGATGCCATCAGAGATCCCTCCCAACCTGAATTATTCTCCAAAATGCTTTGCAGTGCCTACTTTAGCCCAGGCAAAGACA